GCCCATCCCCACCATTACCCTAAATTGAACCAAGGAGTCGTTAAGGTATGAAGATGCCTCCAAGATCACTCAATTCAACCCAAGCCCATCCCCACCATCACCCTAAATTGAACCAAGGAGTCGTTAAGGTATGAAGACGCCTCCAAGATCACTCAATTCAACCCAGCCCATACCCACCATCACCCTAAATTGAACCAAGGAGTCGTTAAGGTATGAAGACGCCTCCAAGATCACTCAATTCAACCCAGCCCATACCCACCATCACCCTAAATTGAACCAAGGAGTCGTTAAGGTATGAAGATGCCTCCAAGATCACTCAATTCAACCCAAACCATCCCCACCATCACCCTAAATTGAACCAAGGAGTCGTTAAGGTATGAAGACGCCTCCAAGATCACTCAATTCAACCCAAACCATCCCCACCGTGACCCTAAATTGAACCAAGGAGTCGTTAAGGTATGAAGATGCCTCCAAGATCACTCAATTCAACCCAAACCATCCCCATTGTGACCCTAAATTGAACCAAGGAGTCGTTAAGGTATGAAGATGCCTCCAAGATCACTCAATTCAACCCAAACCATCCCCACCATCACCCTAAATTGAACCAAGGAGTCGTTAAGGTATGAAGATGCCTCCAAGATCACTCAATTCAACCCAAACCATCCCCACCATCACCCTAAATTGAACCAAGGAGTCGTTAAGGTATGAAGATGCCTCCAAGATCACTCAATTCAACCCAAACCCATCCCCACCATCACCCTAAATTGAACCAAGGAGTCGTTAAGGTATGAAGATGCCTCCAAGATCACTCAATTCAACCCAAACCCATCCCCACCATCACCCTAAATTGAACCACAGTCATTAAGGTATGAAGATGCCTCCAAGATCACTCAATTCAACCCAAACCATCCCCACCATCACCCTACATTGAACCAAGGAGTCGTTAAGGTATGAAGATGCCTCCAAGATCACTCAATTCAACCCAAACCATCCCCACCATCACCCTACATTGAACCAAGGAGTCGTTAAGGTATGAAGATGCCTCCAAGATCACTCAGTTCAACCCAAATCATCCCCACCATCACCCTAAATTGAACCAAGGAGTCGTTAAGGTATGAAGATGCCTCCAAGATCACTCAATTCAACCCAAACCATCCCCACCATCACCCTAAATTGAACCAAGGAGTCGTTAAGGTATGAAGATGCCTCCAAGATCACTCAATTCTACCCAAACCATCCCCACCATCACCCTAAATTGAACCACAGTCGTTAAGGTATGAAGATGCCTCCAAGATCACTCAATTCAACCCAGCCCATACCCACCATCACCCTAAATTGAACCAAGGAGTCGTTAAGGTATGAAGATGCCTCCAAGATCACTCAATTCAACCCAAACCATCCCCACCATCACCCTAAATTGAACCAAGGAGTCGTTAAGGTATGAAGACGCCTCCAAGATCACTCAGTTCAACCCAAACCATCCCCACCATCACCCTAAATTGAACCAAGGAGTCGTTAAGGTATGAAGATGCCTCCAAGATCACTCAATTCAACCCAAACCCATCCCCACCATCACCCTAAATTGAACCAACGAGTCGTTAAGGTATGAAGATGCCTCCAAGATCACTCAATTCAAACCAAACCATCCCCACCATCACCCTAAATTGAACCAAGGAGTCGTTAAGGTATGAAGATGCCTCCAAGATCACTCAATTCAAACCAAACCATCCCCACCATCACCCTAAATTGAACCAAGGAGTCGTTAAGGTATGAAGATGCCTCCAAGATCACTCAATTCAACCCAAACCATCCCCACCATCACCCTACATTGAACCAAGGAGTCGTTAAGGTATGAAGATGCCTCCAAGATCACTCAATTCAACCCAAACCATCCCCACCATCACCCTACATTGAACCAAGGAGTCGTTAAGGTATGAAGATGCCTCCAAGATCACTCAATTCAACCCAAATCATCCCCTCTGTGATCCTAAATTGAACCAAGGAGTCGTTAAGGTATGAAGATGCCTCCAAGATCACTCAATTCAACCCAAACCATCCCCACCATCACCCTACATTGAACCAAGGAGTCGTTAAGGTATGAAGATGCCTCCAAGATCACTCAATTCAAACCAAACCCATCCCCACCATCACCCTAAATTGAACCAAGGAGTCGTTAAGGTATGAAGATGCCTCCAAGATCACTCAATTCAACCCAGCCCATACCCACCATCACCCTAAATTGAACCAAGGAGTCGTTAAGGTATGAAGATGCCTCCAAGATCACTCAATTCAACCCAAACCATCCCCACCATCACCCTACATTGAACCAAGGAGTCGTTAAGGTATGAAGATGCCTCCAAGATCACTCAATTCAACCCAAACCATCCCCACCGTGACCCTAAATTGAACCAAGGAGTCGTTAAGGTATGAAGATGCCTCCAAGATCACTCAGTTCAACCCAAACCATCCCCACAGTGACCCTAAATTGAACCACAGTCGTTAAGGTATGAAGATGCCTCCAAGATCACTCAATTCAACCCAGCCCATCCCCACCATCACCCTAAATTGAACCAAGGAGTCGTTAAGGTATGAAGATGCCTCCAAGATCACTCAATTCAACCCAAACCATCCCCACCATCACCCTAAATTGAACCAAGGAGTCGTTAAGGTATGAAGACGCCTCCAAGATCACTCAATTCAACCCAAATCATCCCCACCATCACCCTAAATTGAACCAAGGAGTCGTTAAGGTATGAAGACGCCTCCAAGATCACTCAATTCAACCCAAACCATCCCCACCGTGACCCTAAATTGAACCAAGGAGTCGTTAAGGTATGAAGATGCCTCCAAGATCACTCAGTTCAACCCAAACCATCCCCACCATCACCCTAAATTGAACCAAGGAGTCGTTAAGGTGTGAAGATGCCTCCAAGATCACTCAATTCAACCCAAACCATCCCCACCATCACCCTAAATTGAACCAAGGAGTCGTTAAGGTATGAAGATGCCTCCAAGATCACTCAATTCAACCCAAACCATCCCCACCATCACCCTAAATTGAACCAAGGAGTCGTTAAGGTATGAAAATGCCTCCAAGATCACTCAATTCAAACCAAACCATCCCCACCATCACCCTAAATTGAACCAAGGAGTCGTTAAGGTATGAAGATGCCTCCAAGATCACTCAATTCAAACCAAACCATCCCCACCATCACCCTAAATTGAACCAAGGAGTCGTTAAGGTATGAAGATGCCTCCAAGATCACTCAATTCAACCCAAACCCATCCCCACCATCACCCTAAATTGAACCAAGGAGTCGTTAAGGTGTGAAGATGCCTCCAAGATCACTCAATTCAACCCAAACCATCCCCACCATCACCCTAAATTGAACCAAGGAGTCGTTAAGGTATGAAGATGCCTCCAAGATCACTCAATTCAACCCAAACCATCCCCACCATCACCCTAAATTGAACCAAGGAGTCGTTAAGGTATGAAGATGCCTCCAAGATCACTCAATTCAACCCAAGCCCATCCCCACCATTACCCTAAATTGAACCAAGGAGTCGTTAAGGTATGAAGATGCCTCCAAGATCACTCAATTCAACCCAAGCCCATCCCCACCATCACCCTAAATTGAACCAAGGAGTCGTTAAGGTATGAAGACGCCTCCAAGATCACTCAATTCAACCCAGCCCATACCCACCATCACCCTAAATTGAACCAAGGAGTCGTTAAGGTATGAAGACGCCTCCAAGATCACTCAATTCAACCCAGCCCATACCCACCATCACCCTAAATTGAACCAAGGAGTCGTTAAGGTATGAAGATGCCTCCAAGATCACTCAATTCAAACCAAACCATCCCCACCATCACCCTAAATTGAACCAAGGAGTCGTTAAGGTATGAAGACGCCTCCAAGATCACTCAATTCAACCCAAACCATCCCCACCGTGACCCTAAATTGAACCAAGGAGTCGTTAAGGTATGAAGATGCCTCCAAGATCACTCAATTCAACCCAAACCATCCCCATTGTGACCCTAAATTGAACCAAGGAGTCGTTAAGGTATGAAGATGCCTCCAAGATCACTCAATTCAACCCAAACCATCCCCACCATCACCCTAAATTGAACCAAGGAGTCGTTAAGGTATGAAGATGCCTCCAAGATCACTCAATTCAACCCAAACCATCCCCACCATCACCCTAAATTGAACCAAGGAGTCGTTAAGGTATGAAGATGCCTCCAAGATCACTCAATTCAACCCAAACCCATCCCCACCATCACCCTAAATTGAACCAAGGAGTCGTTAAGGTATGAAGATGCCTCCAAGATCACTCAATTCAACCCAAACCCATCCCCACCATCACCCTAAATTGAACCACAGTCATTAAGGTATGAAGATGCCTCCAAGATCACTCAATTCAACCCAAACCATCCCCACCATCACCCTACATTGAACCAAGGAGTCGTTAAGGTATGAAGATGCCTCCAAGATCACTCAATTCAACCCAAACCATCCCCACCATCACCCTACATTGAACCAAGGAGTCGTTAAGGTATGAAGATGCCTCCAAGATCACTCAGTTCAACCCAAATCATCCCCACCATCACCCTAAATTGAACCAAGGAGTCGTTAAGGTATGAAGATGCCTCCAAGATCACTCAATTCAACCCAAATCATCCCCTCTGTGATCCTAAATTGAACCAAGGAGTCGTTAAGGTATGAAGATGCCTCCAAGATCACTCAATTCTACCCAAACCATCCCCACCATCACCCTAAATTGAACCACAGTCGTTAAGGTATGAAGATGCCTCCAAGATCACTCAATTCAACCCAAACCATCCCCACCATCACCCTACATTGAACCAAGGAGTCGTTAAGGTATGAAGATGCCTCCAAGATCACTCAATTCAACCCAAACCATCCCCACCATCACCCTAAATTGAACCAAGGAGTCGTTAAGGTATGAAGACGCCTCCAAGATCACTCAATTCAACCCAAACCATCCCCACCGTGACCCTAAATTGAACCAAGGAGTCGTTAAGGTATGAAGATGCCTCCAAGATCACTCAGTTCAACCCAAACCATCCCCACCATCACCCTAAATTGAACCAAGGAGTCGTTAAGGTATGAAGATGCCTCCAAGATCACTCAATTCAACCCAAACCCATCCCCACCATCACCCTAAATTGAACCAACGAGTCGTTAAGGTATGAAGATGCCTCCAAGATCACTCAATTCAACCCAAACCCATCCCCACCATCACCCTAAATTGAACCAAGGAGTCGTTAAGGTATGAAGATGCCTCCAAGATCACTCAATTCAAACCAAACCATCCCCACCATCACCCTAAATTGAACCAAGGAGTCGTTAAGGTATGAAGATGCCTCCAAGATCACTCAATTAAAACCAAACCATCCCCACCATCACCCTAAATTGAACCAAGGAGTCGTTAAGGTATGAAGATGCCTCCAAGATCACTCAGTTCAACCCAAACCCATCCCCACCATCACCCTAAATTGAACCAAGGAGTCGTTAAGGTATGAAGATGCCTCCAAGATCACTCAATTCAACCCAAACCATCCCCACCATCACCCTACATTGAACCAAGGAGTCGTTAAGGTATGAAGATGCCTCCAAGATCACTCAATTCAACCCAAACCATCCCCACCATCACCCTACATTGAACCAAGGAGTCGTTAAGGTATGAAGATGCCTCCAAGATCACTCAATTCAACCCAAATCATCCCCTCTGTGATCCTAAATTGAACCAAGGAGTCGTTAAGGTATGAAGATGCCTCCAAGATCACTCAATTCAACCCAAACCATCCCCACCATCACCCTAAATTGAACCAAGGAGTCGTTAAGGTATGAAGATGCCTCCAAGATCACTCAATTCAAACCAAACCCATCCCCACCATCACCCTAAATTGAACCAAGGAGTCGTTAAGGTATGAAGATGCCTCCAAGATCACTCAATTCAACCCAGCCCATACCCACCATCACCCTAAATTGAACCAAGGAGTCGTTAAGGTATGAAGATGCCTCCAAGATCACTCAATTCAACCCAAACCATCCCCACCATCACCCTACATTGAACCAAGGAGTCGTTAAGGTATGAAGATGCCTCCAAGATCACTCAATTCAACCCAAACCATCCCCACCGTGACCCTAAATTGAACCAAGGAGTCGTTAAGGTATGAAGATGCCTCCAAGATCACTCAGTTCAACCCAAACCATCCCCACAGTGACCCTAAATTGAACCACAGTCGTTAAGGTATGAAGATGCCTCCAAGATCACTCAATTCAACCCAGCCCATCCCCACCATCACCCTAAATTGAACCAAGGAGTCGTTAAGGTATGAAGATGCCTCCAAGATCACTCAATTCAACCCAAACCATCCCCACCATCACCCTAAATTGAACCAAGGAGTCGTTAAGGTATGAAGACGCCTCCAAGATCACTCAATTCAACCCAAACCATCCCCACCGTGACCCTAAATTGAACCAAGGAGTCGTTAAGGTATGAAGATGCCTCCAAGATCACTCAGTTCAACCCAAACCATCCCCACCATCACCCTAAATTGAACCAAGGAGTCGTTAAGGTATGAAGATGCCTCCAAGATCACTCAATTCAACCCAAACCATCCCCACCGTGACCCTAAATTGAACCACAGTCGTTAAGGTGTGAAGATGCCTCCAAGATCACTCAGTTCAACCCAAACCATCCCCACCATCACCCTAAATTGAACCAAGGAGTCGTTAAGGTATGAAGATGCCTCCAAGATCACTCAATTCAACCCAAACCATCCCCACCATCACCCTAAATTGAACCAAGGAGTCGTTAAGGTATGAAGATGCCTCCAAGATCACTCAATTCAACCCAAATCATCCCCACCATCACCCTAAATTGAACCAAGGAGTCGTTAAGGTATGAAGATGCCTCCAAGATCACTCAATTCAAACCAAACCATCCCCACCATCACCCTAAATTGAACCAAGGAGTCGTTAAGGTATGAAGATGCCTCCAAGATCACTCAATTCAACCCAAATCATCCCCACCATCACCCTAAATTGAACCAAGGAGTCGTTAAGGTATGAAGATGCCTCCAAGATCACTCAATTCAACCCAAACCATCCCCACCATCACCCTAAATTGAACCAAGGAGTCGCTAAGGTATGAAGATGCCTCCAAGATCACTCAGTTCAACCCAAACCATCCCCACCATCACCCTAAATTGAACCAAGGAGTCGTTAAGGTATGAAGATGCCTCCAAGATCACTCAATTCAACCCAAACCCATCCCCATTGTGACCCTAAATTGAACCAAGGAGTCGTTAAGGTTGGAAGAGACCCCCAGGCCCCCCAGTGCAGCCCCAGCCCACCCCTACCGTTGCCCACTACCGTGTCCCCACGTGCCCCATATCCCCTCAGTTCTGAACACCTGCAGGGATGGTGACCCCACCGCCTCCCCACGCAGCCCATGCCGATGCGTCGCAGCTCCTTTTGGGAAGAAATGTTCCCTGATGCCCAGCCTGAGCCCCCCGGGTGCAACGTGAGGCCATCCCCTCTCATCCCATTGCTGCTCCCCGGGAGCAGAGGCCGACCCCCCCATCACCACGCCGTCCTTCCAGCAGCTGTAGGGAGCGATGAGCTCTCCCCAGAGCTGCCTATGGGGCAGTGCTATGGGGCTGAGGCTGGGTGGGCTTCAATCTCCCGTCCGACCCAAACCTTCCCGTGCCTCTGGGATTCCACCAGAGCCTCCCACCCCTCTTGGACCGCGCATCCCCCCACAGCTGATCCCATCACACCTCCCAGCTGGCAGCAGTTCGGAGCAGAGGACCTTCCAAGGTCCCATCCAACTCACTGCTGCCCACAGAGGCTGCGGATGCTCCATCCACCCCTGGAGGTGTCCAAGGCCAGGTTGGATGGGGCCCTGGGCAGCCTGGGCTGCTGTGAAATGGGGAGGTTGGTGGTCCTGCATTGGTGGGGGTTGGAGCTCCGTGATTCTTGAGGTCCCTTCCAAGCCAACCGTGCTGTGATTCTGTAACAGAGCTGGAGGGAGCAGAGGAGAGAATAGAGCAGAATAGAACAGAGTAGGATAGATCAGAGCATAAGAGACAGGAACAGGATAGAACAGCAGGGTAGGACAGTACAGAATACATCAGAGCAGGATAGAACAAGATAGAACAGAACAGAGCGGGTCAGAACAGAATAGAACCAAACAGAACAGATCTAAACAGGATAGAACTGAACAGAACAAGACAGAACAGAGCAGGACAGAACACAACAGGATAGAACAGAATAAGATAGAACAGGATAGAACAGAGCAGGATAGAACAGAATAGAGCAAAACAGGCTAAAACAGAATAGAACAGAATAAGATGGGACAAAACAGAACAGAATAGAACAGGATAGAACGGAACAGGATAGAACAGAATAATTTAGAACAGAATAGAGCAAAATAGGATAGAACAGAACAGAATAGAACAGAATAGAAGAGAGCAGGACAGAACAGAGCAGGATAGAACAGAACAGGGCAGGATAGAACAGAACAGGGCAGGACAGAACAGAACAGGGCAGGACAGAACAGAGCAGGGCAGGACAGAGCAGAGCAGAGTAGTGATCCCTGAGGTCCCTTCCAACTCGGGCCATGCTATGATCCCAACCTCAGCCATTCTGCGGGCTCCCTTCCAACCCAACCATTCCATCATCCCAACCTCAGCCATTCTGTGACCCTACACAAGGACACAGGAGGATTCGTGATCCTTGAGGTCCCGTCCAACCCAACCGTTCCATGATTCTGTGACTCCATCAATTCCGCAACCCATTTTTGGGGTGGGTGGGCATAGAATCATAGAACCACAGGATCATAGAATCACCAAGGTTGGAAAAGACCTCAGAGCTCCCCCAGTCCAACCATTCACCTGTTCCCAACAGCTCCCACTGAACCACGGCCCTCAGCACAGCACCCAGCCTTGCCTTCAACACCCCCAGGCTCGGCGCCTCCCCCACCTCCCTGGGCATCCATTGCAGTGCTGCCCACCTTTCTGACACCTCATTCTTCCTCACGTCCAGCCTGAATCTCCCCTGCCGCAGCTTGAAGCCGTTCCCTCTGCTCCCATCACTGATGGCACGAGAGCAGAGGCCGCCCCCCAGCTCCCTGCAGCCTGCCTTCAGCAGCCATAGAGAGCAGTGAGCTCTGCCCTCAGCTCCTCTTCTCACCCTGAACATTCCCAGCTCCTTCAGCCTCTCCTCACAGCCCTGTGGATCTTCAAAGACCCTTCCAACCCAACCATCCCATGGGTTTATGATCTTCAAGGACCCTTGCAACCCAACCATCCCATGGGTTTATGATCTTCAAGGACCCTTCCAACCAAACCATCCCATGGGTTTATGATCTTCAAGGACCCTTCCAACCCAACCATCCCATGGGTTTATGATCATAGGATCACAGAATCCCCGAGGTTGGAAAAGACCTCAAAGCTCCCCCAGTCCAACCGCTCCCCCATCACCAACAGCTCCCACTGAACCACGGCCCTCAGCACAGCACCCAGCCTTGCCTTCAACACCCCCAGGCTCGGCGCCTCCCCCACCTCCCTGGGCATCCATTGCAGTGCTGCCCACCTTTCTGACACCTCATTCTTCCTCACGTCCAGCCTGAATCTCCCCTGCCGCAGCTTGAAGCCGTTCCCTCTGCTCCCATCACTGATGGCACGAGAGCAGAGGCCGACCCCCAGCTCCCTGCAGCCTCCCTTCAGCAGCCATAGAGAGGGCAGAGGGGCTCCGACCCAAAGCTGCTTTTAGGAAGCGCTGAGGACCCCCCCGGTCCTTTGAGGAGCACAGGAGGGCCGCGGGGCACAGCTGCACCAATTACTGCGGGCAGCAGCGGGGCGACGAGGCGAGCAGCGCACACCTGAACCGCTGCACGGGGCAGCAGCAAGGCTCATTAAGGGGCCGCGGAGGAGCAGCTGGGCCGGCGGCCCCCAGGGCTGCACCCATCCGTCACGCTTTGCAGAGCTCCGCTCCACGGGGCAATTAAACGGCGCCGAGCTGACGAGGGACGAGGCAAAGGGTCGCGAGGAGGAGTTATTAAGGGGGGAGAGCGGCGCTCGGTGGGGGGGGAACGAGGGGAGATGGGGCTGCTGTGCACCTGGGGCTCCGATGGAGCGGCTCTGGGGGGACACGTGGACGTGCTGGGGACGTGGGGACACACGGCCATAGCACAGTGATGGGGACGTGGGGACACACGGCCATAGCACAGTGATGGGGACATGGGGACACACAGCCATGGCACAGTGATGGGGACATGGGGACACACAGCCATGGCACAGTGATGGGGACATGGGGACACACAGCCATGGCACAGTGATGGGGACATGGGGACACACAGCCATAGCACAGTGATGGGGACATGGGGACACACAGCCATGGCACAGTGATGGGGACATGGGGACACACGGCCATAGCACAGTGATGGGGACATGGGGACATACGGCCATGGCACAGTGCTGGGGACATGGGGACACACGGCCATAGCACAGTGATGGGGACATGGGGACATACGGCCATAGCACAGTGCTGGGGACGTGGGGACACACAGCCATAGCACAGTGCTGGGGACATGGGGACACATGGCCATAGCACAGTGCTGGGGACATGGGGACACACGGCCATAGCACAGTGATGGGGACATGGGGACACACGGCCATAGCACAGTGATGGGGACGTGGGGACAGTGCTGGTGACATGGGGACACACAGCCATAGCACAGTGCTGGGGACATGGGGACAGTGCTGGTGACATGGGGACATATGGACACAGAACAGTGCTGGGGACGTGGGGACAGTGCTGGTGACATGGGGACATATGGCCATAGCACAGTGATGGGGACATGGGGACACACGGCCATAGCACAGTGATGGGGACGTGGGGACAGTGCTGGTGACATGGGGACATATGGACACAGAACAGTGCTGGGGACGTGGGGACAGTGCTGGTGACATGGGGACATATGGACACAGCACAGTGATGTGGGGACATGGGGACACACAGCCATAGCACAGTGATGGGGACGTGGGGACACACAGCCATAGCACAGTGCTGGTGACGTGGGGACAGTGCTGGGGACGTGGGGACACACGGCCATAGCACAGTGCTGGTGGCGTGGGGACAGTGCTGGTGACATGGGGACACACAGCCATGGCACAGTGCTGGGGTCATGGGGACAGTGCTGGTGACCCACCGCCCCATTACCCCCTGCCACTCGGTCCCTCCTCCCCCCCGGGCCCCCCCCCCCATTACCTGCCCGGTCCCATCACCCCCAACCCCCCCCCCTTCCCCGTTATCAGCCCGGTCCCATCACCTCCTCAGCCCCCCCCCCCATTACCTGCCCGGTCCCATCACCTCCTCAGACCCCCCCCCCCCCCCCGTTATCAGCCCGGTCCCATCACCCCCTTCCCTCCCCCCCGTTATCATCACGGTCCCATCACCTCTTCAGCCCCCTCCCACCCCCCCCCCCCCGTTATCTGCCCGGCCCAGCGGCGCCGCTCGTTTATCACGGCGCAGCTCATGCAAAGCAGCGCTAATTGCAGGACGGCTCAGGAGCGGCCGCAGATAACATTGCTGCGGGTGAGAGGCGGCTCCGCTTGGCAGCCGGCCGGCCCTCGGATGAATGGCTCTTTGCAATCCCCTCATTTGCAATTAAAAAGAAAACGCGGCGTCGCGAATCGCCGCGCTCCCATCGGCGGGGCTGCGCTGCGGACCCGGAGCTTTTATGAGAAGGCCGTGAGCGGCACCCAGCCCTGGGCAGGGGTACGGCAGGGCTCCTTCCGAGCCAGCCGAGCAGTGCTTCTGCAGCCCGAAACGACCCTTCCAACACAACTCCACCTATCATCTGCAAGGACCCTCCCAACACCACCATCCTGTGGTTCTGTGATCTGTAAGGACCCTTCCAACCCAACCACGCTGTGCTTCTACAGCTCCAAACGACCCTTCCAACACAACTCAACCATCCTGTGGCTCTGTGATCTGTAAGGACCCTCCCAACCCAACCACACTCTGCTTCTACAGCTCCAAACGACCCTTCCAACACAACTCAACCATCCTGTGGCTCTATGATCTGTAAGGACCCTCCCAACACCACCATCCTGTGGCTCTATGATCTGTAAGGACCCTTCCAACCCAACCACACTCTGCTTCTACAGCTCCAAACGACCCTTCCAACACAACTCAGCCATTCCATGGCTCTGTGATCTGTAAGGACCCTCCCAACACCACCATCCTGTGGTTCTGTGATCTGTAAGGACCCTCCCAACCCAACCACACTCTGCTTCTACAGCTCCAAACGACCCTTCCAACACAACTCAGCCATTCTGTGGCTCTATGATCTGTAAGGACCCTCCCAACACCACCATCCTGTGGCTCTGTGATCTGTAAGGACCCTTCCAACCCAACCACACTCTGCTTCTACAGCTCCAAACGACTCTTCCAACACAACTCAACCATTCCGTGTCTCTATGATCTGTAAGGACCCTTCCAACCCAACCATGCTGTGCTTCTACAGCTCCAAATGACCCTTCCAATACAACTCAACCATTCTGTGGCTCTATGATCTGTAAGGACCCTCCCAACACCACCATCCTGTGGCTCTGTGATCTGTAAGGACCCTTCCAACCCAACCACACTCTGCTTCTACAGCTCCAAACGACTCTTCCAACACAACTCAACCATTCCGTGTCTCTATGATCTGTAAGGACCCTTCCAACCCAACCACGCTGTGCTTCTACAGCTCCAAATGACCCTTCCAATACAACTCAACCATTCTGTGGCTCTATGATCTGTAAGGACCCTCCCAACACCACCATCCTGTGGTTCTGTGATCTGTAAGGACCCTCCCAACCCAACCACGCTCTGCTTCTACAGCTCCAAACGACCCTTCCAACACAACTCAGCCATTCTGTGGCTCTATGATCTGTAAGGACCCTCCCAACACCACCATCCTGTGGTTCTGTGATCTGTAAGGACCCTTCCAACCCAACCACGCTGTGCTTCTACAGCTCCAAATGACCCTTCCAATACAACTCAACCATTCTGTGGCTCTATGATCTGTAAGGACCCTCCCAACACCACCATCCTGTGGTTCTGTGATCTGTAAGGACCCTTCCAACCCAACCACGCTGTGCTCCTATGACTCTAAAGGACCCTTCCAACCCAACCACGCTGTGCTTCTACAGCTCCAAACGACTCTTCCAACACAACTCAGCCATTCTGTGGTTGTGTGATCTGTAAGGACCCTCCCAACACCACCATCCTGTGGTTCTGTGATCTGTAAGGACCCTTCCAACCCAGCCACGCTGTGCTCCTATGACTCTAAAGGACCCTTCCAACCCAACCCAACCCAACCATTCCACAGCTCTATGATCTTCAAGGACCCTCCTAACACCACCATTCTGTGGTTTTGTGATCTTTAAGGACCCTCCCAAAGCATCAATGCTGTGATTCTACGATTCCAGAGGACCCTTCCCACCCAACCTGACCATTCCACAGCTCTATGATCTTCAAGGACCCTCCCAACCCAACCGTGCTGTGCTTCTACAACTCTAAAGGACCCTTCCAACCCAACTCGACCATTCCACAGCTCTATGATCTTCAAGGACCTTCCCTACACAACCATTCTGTGGTTCTGTGACCTTTAAGGACCCTTCCAACCGAACCATCCCGTGGCTCTATGACCTTCAAGGACCCTCCCAGCTGTACCTATTCTGTGGTTCTACAGTTCTAAAGAACATTTCCAACCCTTCCAACCCAACCCAACCCAACCCAAACCAACCATCCTACAGCTCTACAACCTTCAAGCATCCTCTCAAACCAGCCCGTTCCATGGCTCCACAATCTTTAAGGACCCTTCCACTCCAACCATTCTGTGGTTTCACAATTCTAATAAAGGACCCTTCCAACCCAACTCAACCATCTCGTGGCCCTACGATCTGTAAGGACCTTTCCAATCCAACCATTCTGTGGTTCTCTCATCTTTAATGCCCCTTCCAACTCATTTCACGGCTCTACGATCTTGAAGGACCCTTCCACCCCAACTCAACCACCTTGTGGCTCTACGATCTGTAAGGACTCTTCCAACCCAATCCAACCATCCTACAGCTCTCTGATCTTCCAGGACCTCTCCAACCCAACCACCCCACAGTTCCATGACCTATCAGACCCCTTCCACCCCAACCCTTTTACAATTCTGTGCTTCTACGCAGCAGACGGATACCAGAAGCAGACACGACGCAGCAGAACAGCACAGGACGGCCCCGTGTGCCTCCCAGCATCAAATCTACGAGCACCGAGGGTCCCAGCGCAGCACAGCCAGAAGACAAAGCGTGGGCACAGCACTTTTCCCCCCTCCCCTGATCCGGAGGCATCAGTTGAAGCCAGCAGCTGGTGGATTCAACGCACACAAAAGGCCGCCGCTCCCCAGGCACCTGTAATTGAGATGCAGAGCCGCCTCCGCCTCCCGGGGGTCGTGGGACAAAGTCAGGCCAGGAAAACAAATGGGAGGAATGCAACAATGGCGCCGTGGCCGTGAGCGGTCCGGGAGCATCAGCTCCGCAGCCCCGTTGGTTTTTAAGCCCTCGCCCCACTATCCCGTAAGGTCAGCACGCAGCTGAATCCCAACTCAGCCCCTTCCCCCAAAATCTGACCCCGGTTTGCCCAACCCAACAACCCAACATCGCTGCCTCGATGCCTGAGCTGACAGCTCTTGGAGGATGGGGTCCAAAGGGAGGTGCTCCATGACATGCAATGTTGTGGGCACAAGGACAGGGTCAGGGTAGGGCCCGGGGCACAGGGACGGGGCACAAGGATGGGGTCAGGGCACAAGGACAGAGTCAGGACAGGGCTTGGGGCACAAGGATGGGGCTGGGGGCAGAAGGATGGGGTCAGAACTGGGCTGAGGGCAGAAGGATGGGGCTGAGGGTGGAAAGATGGGGTCAGAACTGGGCTGAGGGCAGAAGGATAGGATCAGGACTGGGCTGAGGGCAGAAGCATGTTGTCAGAACTGGGCTGAGGGCAGAAGGATGGGGCTGAGGGCAGAAGAATAGGATCAGGACTGGGCTGAGGGCAGAAGGATGGGGCTGAGGGCAGAAGGATGGGGTCAGAACTGGGCTGAGGACAGAAGGATGGGGCTGAGGGTGGAAAGATGGGGTCAGAACTGGGCTGAGGACAGAAGGATGGGGTCAGAACTGGGCTGAGGGCAGAAGGATGGGGCTGAGGGCAGAAGGATGGGGCTGAGGGCAGAAGGATGGGGTCAGAACTGGGCTGAGAGCAGAGGGATGGGGCTGAGGGCAGAAGGATGGGGTCAGAACTGGGCTGAGGGCAGAGGGATGGGGCTGAGGGCAGAAGGATGGGACTGAGGGCAGAGGAATGGGGTCAGAACTGGGCTGAGAGCAGAGGGATGGGGCTGAGGGCAGAAGGATGGGACTGAGGGCAGAGGAATGGGGTCAGAACTGGGCTGAGAGCAGAGGGATGGGGCTGAGGGCAGAAGGATGGGACTGAGGGCATAAGGATGGGGTCAGGACTGTGCTGAGGGCAGAAGGATGGGGCTGAGGGCAAAGGGATGGGGCTGAGGACAGAGGGATGAGGCTGAGGGCAGAAGGATGGGGTCAGGACTGTGCTGAGGGCAGAAGGATGGAGCCTTGGGCAGAAGGATGGGGTCAGGATTGGGCTGAGGGCAGAGGGATGGGGCTGAGGGCAAAGGGATGGGGCTGAGGGCAGAGGGATGAGGCTGAGGGCATAAGGATGGGGTCAGGACTGTGCTGAGGGCAGAAGGATGGGGCTGAGGGCAGAGGGATGGGGCTGAGGATCAGGACCGGGCTGAGGGCAGAGGGATGGGGCTGAGGGTCAGGACTGGGCTGAGGGCAGAGGGATGGGGCTGAGGGCAAAGGGATGGGGCTGAGGGCAGAGGGATGAGGCTGAGGGCATAAGGATGGGGTCAGGACTGTGCTGAGGGCAGAAGGATGGGGCTGAGGGCAGAGGGATGGGGCTGAGGGTCAGGACCGGGCTGAGGGCAGAGGGATGGGGCTGAGGGTCAGGACCGGGCTGAGGGCACAAGGCTGGCGTTGATCTGTTGGAGCACAGTGCCACGGAGCGGCGCATCCCTGCAGTGCCGCAGTGCCAGCTGTCGGGGAAGCAGCTGTTGTAGCTCACACCAAATCAGCCGCCGGCCCAAAAAGCGGCGGCGCATGGCGGCTGCGCTGCCATCCATCATCGGCCTCCAGCGGGTCCCACCTTCGGGGGACGACGTGGGGAACGCATTGTGTGGGAAAGCACCAAACGGCTGCGAACGGCACATCTGAGAGCCGGGCAGCAGCTCGTTAATTTGACGGCCCCGACACGGGGATCAGCTGCGTTCTGCTGGCTAAACGAGGCTGCACCCCGAGCGCATCCATCAGCGCCCATCAGCGCCGCTCCGGCCCTGCTTCCATCACTGCTGAGCGGTGAGAACGCAGCCGCAGGGACGCAGCCAACGCAAGGAGAGCTGAGACCCGAGAGCGGGGATCCCTCTGCCTTCCACCCTCAGCTCCGCGTTCTGCTTCTCGCTCTGCTGCTGCAAAAAGCGGCTGCTGCATCTGCAGCCCCGCGCTCTGCACGCCTGGCTTCCTGGGTGCACGGCTCCCTTTTCTCTCCAAGCAAGCTGTGGGCGCACTGCAAGTCAGCCCCTCGCATGGGCACGGAGACATTGTGGAGTGTGGAGGGGTTTGGGCTGGGGATCCTGGAGCTCTCCTCCAACCTTAATGACTCTGTGGTTCTGTTTGGGGTCACTCCATAGGTTGGAGTGGGGTTGGAGGCATCTTCCGACCTGAACGACTCTGTGGTTCTAATTAGGGTCTCCGTGGGGATGGGTTGGGGTTGGGCTCAATGATCTCAGAGATCTCTTCCGACCTGAACGACTCCGTGGTTCTGTACGGTTCTGCCCAGTTTGTCAGTACACAATTTTTAATACGTGTAAAAATAAGGATCAAAGAGTTGTAACCAGCTTTGATCCCAAGGTCATAAGAAAACAAAGAAAAAAAAAAAACCTATTTATTTTGTTAGGGCTCAAAAAAACACCACCGTAACACCATACCCAAAGACTGAGGGAAACACCAGCACCACGCAGCAGCAAGGTCAGTAACGTGGCTGGCTTAGGGTGAGGGTCAGCAGAATTCCTGGCCCTGGTGCCAACACTTCATAGAGAGCCACGGAATGGTTGAGTTGGAAGGGTCCTTACAGATCACAAAGCCATGGGATGGTTGGGTTGTGTTGGAAGGGTCCTTACAGATCACAGAGCCATGGGATGGTTGGGTTGGGTTGTGTTGGAAGGGTCCTTACAGATCACAGAGCCATGGGATGGTTGGGTTGGGTTGGAAGGGTCCTCACAGATCACAGAGCCATGGGATGGTTGGGTTGTGTTGGAAGGGTCCTTACAGATCATAGAACCATGGGATGGTTGGGTTGGAAGAGTCCTTACAGATCACACAACCACAGCACGGTTGGGTTGGAAGGGTCCTTACAGATCACAGAGCCATGGGATGGTTGGGTTGGAAGGGTCTTTAAAGATTCATAAAGCCCAGCTCACTCAGCCTTTCTCCATAGCAGAGATGCTCCAGGCCCCTCGCCATCTTTTGGCCCTCCGCTGGACTCTTCCCAACAGATCCCCGTCTGTTTTGTGCTGGGCAGCCCAGAACTGGACGCCGTGCTCCAGGTGAGGCCTCAGCAGGGCAGAGCAGAGGGGGAGCATCGCCTCGCCCTGCTGGCCGCGCTCTGTGCAATGCACCCCAGGACGCCGTGTTGGCCACCAGGCCGCCCTGCTGGCTCACGGCCGACCTGTTGTTCCCCAGGTCCCTGTGCGCAGAGCTCCCCTCCAGCAGCTCATCCCCCATCCTGTACGGCTGCACGCCGTGATTCCTCCCCACATGCAAGTCTCCACGCTTGCTGTTGTTAAACCCCATCTGCTTTCTTCCTGCCCAGCTCTCAGCCTGTCCAGCTCTTGCTGAATGGCAGCACGGCCTTCAGACAACCCTCCCAACTTCGTGTCATCACAAACTCGCTGACGGTGGCCACCGTCCCCTCGTCAAGGTCACTGATGAAGATGTTGAACAAGGACCCAGCACCGACCCCTGGGGACACCGCTGCTTACAGGCCTCCAACCCGACTCTGCACCGCCAACAACGACCCTCTGCTCTCTGCCAGTCAAACTTCCAGCAACCAAAATCCAACCGGGACATCTGTGGTGCTCCATAAGGACTTCATGTTTCCAATCCACGGATGCTGCAGAAAGCAGCGGGACGTTTGGAGAAGCGCTGATCTGACAGCCATCAACTTCCCAGCCCCCAGCCTGCGAAGCCCATTTCGTTTGGCACCTGCACCCCACAGCCTACAGGCGCTGCCCAGGCCCACAAACCCCACGCAGCCAAAGCCGTGCGGTGGGAGCCTGAAGGAGGAATGGGAGCAGCTGGTTGGCTCGAGTCATTTTAGCATCGTTAGCTGGGCTGCAGCAGTAATTAATTTCAGATCGCCGCGCTGAAAAACGAGCGCTCTCCAGGTCTTTGGAACGCCCCGTAAAACTGACTTCAGATGATCTCAAGCAGTGACTCAGCTCGTAAAAAAGCAGCAGCGGAGATAAAACGCACAGATCCCACATTGTGCGCAGCATTACGGGCCATCAACGCCATTTTAGGCTCCAGCTGATGGTTGATTCGGAGCCAGTGCGGCTCCCTGGGGCTGGGCTGGTCCTCTGTGCAGGAAGGCTGTCAAACAACACACAGCAATTGTCCCACTTAGGGGTCACAGGTGCAGGGAGGGTGGTCACGATGTGGGGCTGGAAGAGCCCCAGTTCAGCCAATGGGAGTCGGGTTGGGAGAGAAATGGAGAGCAGCGCGTTCCTGGCTGGGGATGGATGGAATTCCAAGCACTTCTTTTTGGCTTCTGGGGAGAATTTGGGTGCACAGTCTTCCTTCCATAAAATCAGACTGAGTGGTAGCTGGGTTCCAGGAGCCTCACTGCCCTGAGCTTAGGTTGGGTTCAAAGGGTCTTTAAAGATCACAGAGCCATGGGATGGTTGGGGTGGAAGGGTCCTTACAGATCATAAAGCCAGTGGATGGTTGGGTTGGAAGGGTCCTTACAGATCACAGAGCCATGGGATGGTTGGGTTGGAAGGGTCCTTACAGATCACAGAGCCATGGGATGGTTGGGTTGGAAGGGTCCTTACAGATCACAGAGCCATGGGATGGTTGGGTTGGAAGGGTCCTTAAAGATCATAAAGCCAGTGGATGGTTGTGTTGGAAGGGTCCTTACAGATCACACGGGATGGTTGGATTGGAAGGGTCCTTAAAGATCACAGAGCCATGGGATGGTTTGGGTTGGATGGGTCCTTAAAGGTCACAGAGCCACGGGATGGTTGGGTTGGAAGGGTCCTTAAAGGTCACAGAGCCACGGGATGGTTGGGTTGGAAGGGTCCTTAAAGGTCACAGAGCCATGGGATGGTTGGGTTGGAAGGGTCCTTAAAGATCATAGAGCCATGGGATGGTTGGGTTGGATGGGTCCTTAAAGATCACAGAGCCATGGGATGGTTTGGGTTGGATGGGTCCTTAAAGATCATAGAGCCATGGGATCGTTGGGTTGGATGGGTCCTTAAAGATCATAGAGCCATGGGATGGTTGGGTTGGATGGGTCCTTACAGATCACAGAGCCATGGGATGGTTGGGTTGGATGGGTCCTTAAAGATCATAGAGCCATGGGATGGTTGGGTTGGAAGGGTCCTTAAAGATCACAGAGCCATGGGATGGTTGGGTTGGAAGGGTCCTTAAAGATCATAGAGCCATGGGATGGTTGGGTTGGAAGGGTCCATAAAGATCATAGAGCCATGGGATGGTTGGGTTGGAAGGGTCCATAAAGATCATAGAGCCATGGGATGGTTGGGTTGGAAGGGTCCATAAAGATCATAGAGCCATGGGATGGTTGGGTAGGATGGGTCCTTAAAGATCATAAAGCCATGGGATGGTTGGGTTGGAAGGGTCCTTAAAGATCACAGAGCCATGGGATGGTTGGGTTGGAAGGGTCCTTAAAGATCACAGAGCCATGGGATGGTTGGGTTGGAAGGGTCCTTAAAGGTCACAGAGCCATGGGATGGTTGGGTTGGAAGGGTCCTCATAGGTCAGCATAGAAAGGGTTGAGAAGGTCCTTAAAGGTCACAGAACCACGGCTTCTGATGGGCACCTTGTACTTCTGACGGGCTCCTGACAGCTTCTTGGCAAAAGAGCTCAATATTGGTTCACAGTCAACCGTTGGACAAGAGTTGGTCAACCAATGGTCAACTGTTGGTCAACCACTGGTCAATTCATCAACTGCTGCTCAACCGTTGGTCAATCATTAGTCAACCACTGGTCAACTGCTGCTCAACCGTTGGTCAATCATTAGTCAACCACTGGTCAACTGCTGCTCAACCGTTGGTCAATCATTAGTCAACCACTGGTCAACTGCTGCTCAACCGTTGGTCAATCATTAGTCAACCACTGGTGAACTGCTGCTCAACCGTTGGTCAATCATTAGTCAACCACTGGTGAACTGCTGCTCAACTGTTGGTCAATCATTAGTCAACCACTGGTCAACTGCTGCTCAACTGTTGGTCAATCATTAGTCAACCACTGGTCACCCCTTGGCTAGCCGTTGCCCACCAGGACCCCCAGGTCCTTTGGCAGAGCTCCTTCCCAGCAGCTCAGCCCCAACCTGTCCTGCTCCATGCTGTTGTTCCTGGGCTCGGGGCCCTGCACTGCTGAAGCCCGCCAGGTTCCTCCTCACCCAGCCCTCGGTGTGCCCAGATGGCCTTAAGGGACAGCAGCCCCTGCCCCAGTTTGGCAGTGCAGCACCGGCACGCGGCTGCACACCTGCAGGCAGGACACATGGGGCAGGACAGACTTGTAAAGCACGGTGCAAAACAGAAAGTATCCGGGCAGCAATCTCACAAGAGATCTCGTTACGAGCTTCACGCTGCTGCTGCAGCACACACCGAGCCTCACTTTTTCCATAGCGCTTAACGCCGGCGCATGGAATGCCATCACGCTCCCAGAGCCATGGAGGGAAAAGGAAGAGAGAAGCAGGGCTGTAAGTTGCAGCCGTGCTGGGACAGAGCTGCGCTCGCTGCTCTCCCACGTCACCCCAGCGGCACTGGAGCAGAGCAGCGCAGCCCCCTGCTAACGAGGCACGCACGGATCGCCTCGTTGGCTCCGCCGCGGCCCAGCACCGCTCTCCTCTCACCCAACGCTGATGGATTCCATCCTCTCCACAAATGCTCCGCTGCAAACGCCGTCCCCCGGGCTCAGCGTGGAGCGGTGATGGATCTGTTGCTTTTGGAACTCCCGAACTCGTAAGGAAAGTTACAGGGGTCGGAGTGATTCGGTATGATTTACGGGGGGTTTGCGTGCGGTAAACTAATGCTGGTGAAGAGGAACTGCGCCGAGCACAGCCAAGTTCTCGTGTCTGCTCAGATTTATTCGCACCGAGAGAAATGCTCACTCTGAGCTCTGCGGGCCTCATTGGCACAGCACAGCTGGGAGGAATTGTGCTCAGGTCCCATTGAGCCGACACCGGAATGGTCCCCAAAGGAGAAGTGGAGAAACAGATCATAGAATCATAGAATCATAGAATCATAGAATCACCAAGGTTGGAAAAGACCTCAAAGCTCCCCCAGTCCAACCGTTCACCTGTTCCCAACAGCTCCCACTGAACCACGGCCCTCAGCACAGCACCCAGCCTTGCCTTCAACACCCCCAGGCTCGGCGCCTCCCCCACCTCCCTGGGCATCCATTGCAGTGCTGCCCACCTTTCTGACACCTCATTCTTCCTCACGTCCAGCCTGAATCTCCCCTGCCGCAGCTTGAAGCCGTTCCCTCTGCTCCCATCACTGATGGCACGAGAGCAGAGGCCGCCCCCCAGCTCCCTGCAGCCTGCCTTCAGCAGCCATAGAGAGCAGTGAGCTCTGCCCTCAGCTCCTCTTCTCACCCTGAACATTCCCAGCTCCTTCAGCCTCTCCTCACAGCCCTGTGCTCCAGACCCCTCACCATTTCATTGCCCTCCTTTCAACACGTTCCAGGCCCTCAGTGTCTTTCTTGCAGTGAGGGGCCCAAAACTGGACACAGCCCTCGAGGTGCGGCCTCACCAGAGCTGAGCGCAGGGGATGGATGCTCCCCTCCCTGCTCCTGCTGGCCATTTCTGATGCAGGCCAGGCTGCCCTTGCCCTTCCTGGCCACCTGGGCACACTGCTGGCTCCTGTTCAGCCCAGCATCCATCCATACCCCCAGCTCCATTTCCTCTACGCCGTCCTCCAGCCACACCGCCCCAAGCCTGCAGCGTCGCCTGGGGTTGCTGTAGCCCAAGTGCAGGACCCGGCATTTGGCCTTGTTGAACCTCATCCCATGGGCTTCAGCCCAGCCCTCCAGCCTGTCCAGACCCAGATGTCACAGAGACAGCAACTGGTTGGGCTGGGAGGGTCCTTGAAGTCATAGAGAACAGAATGGTTGGGTTGGAAGGGTCCTTGGAGGTCACAGAGACACCGACTGGTTGGACTGGGAGGGACTTTGAAGATCATAGAGCCACTGATTGGTTGTGCTGGGAAGGTCCTTACAGATCACAGAGAACAGAATGGCTGGGTTGGAAGGATCCTGAAGGTCACAGTGAACAGAATGTTTGGGTTGGAAGTGTTCATAAAGACTATGGAGCCACAGGATGGTTGGGTTGGGAGGGTCCTTGAAGATCATAGAACCATGTGATGAATTGGGTTGGAAGGGTCCTTAAAGATCATAAATCAATGGGATGGTTGGGTTGGGAGTGTTCATAAAGATCATGGAGCCATAAGATGGTTGGGTTGGAAGAGTCCTTAAAGGTCAGAGAGCTGTGGAATGGTTGGGTTGGAAAGTGCCTTTACAGATCATAAAGAAAAGAACGATTGGGTTGGAAGGGTCCTTTAAAGATCATAGAGCCATAGAATGGGTTGGGTTGGAAGGGTCCTTACAGATCATAGAGCCATAGAATGGATCGGGTTGGAAGGGTCCTTAAAGATCATAGAGCCATAGAATGGGTTGGGTTGGAAGGGTCCTTACAGATCATAGAGCCATAGAATGGATCGGGTTGGAAGGGTCCTTAAAGATCATAGAGCCATAGAATGGGTTGGGTTGGAAGGGTCCTTACAGATCATAGAGCCATAGAATGGATCGGGTTGGAAGGGTCCTTAAAGATCATAGAGCCATAGAATGGGTTGGGTTGGAAGGGTCCTTACAGATCATAGAGCCACAGAATGGATCGGGTTGGAAGGGCCCTTAAAGGTCATAGAGTCATTGAATGGTTGGGTTGGGAAGGTCCTTACAGATCATAGAGAACAGAATGGTTGGGTTGGAAGGGTCCTTAAAGATTATAGAGCCATAGAATGGGTTGGGTTGGAAGGGTCCTTAAAGGTCATAGAGTCACTGAATGGTTGGGTTGGGAAGGTCCTTACAGATCATAGAGAACAGAATGGTTGGGTTGGAAGGGTCCTTCATGATCAGAGAACCTTAGGATCTGTTGGAAGGGACCCCCAGCCCCCCCCTGCCGTGGGCTGGCTGCCCCCCAGCTCAGGCTGCCCAGGGCCCACTCCCAACCTGGGGCACCTCCAGGGCTGGGGCACCCACAGCTCCGGGCAGCAGTGCTGGGGCTGCACAGCCCCAAGGCACAGCTGGGTGCCAGCTCCACGCTCCTCCTGCACAGAACTGCGTTCTCCTCAGGCCAGGACCCGCTGCATTCGCCTGGGGGTGAACTGGAAGGATGGGGAAGCTGCGATGCACCGCAGCGCTCGGAGCCAGAAGGCAGAGAGGCCGCGGGGAGCACTAAAAACTTCCCTAAGGCTCCTGGCCTTTCCATTTGTTCCACGTGTGGCAGGCGTGCCTTTTTTCTCCATCTCGTACATATGTTGTTTTTACTTTTCAATCTCCAGAGACCCATAAAGGCTCTGGAAGAAGACCAAGGATTTGCATTTTCCAGGAGAGCAGCAAAAAAAAAACCCACAAAAACAACCCAAGAAAAAAACAAACCCATAAATTAAAACACCAAAAGCCACAAGGACGCATCTGAGCCGCAGCAGGAAACTCCCAGAGCAGCTCCCAGCCCACTGCATCCCAATGCTATGGGATCTCCCTGTGAAACGGACGCGCCGCGCTCGTTAAGCTGTTCCTATTAAGCCAGCAGAGAGGCTTAATAGAAAGGACAGCTGGGGAGCAGCGGAGGGGAGCCCCGTCCGCTCCAAACGCACCTCTGGATGAGGAGAAAGGTTTCACAACAGAGCTCCAGGCACCAGGAAAGGCTGTGGGCTGCTGGCATCGCAGCTGCAGAGAGCTCTCACTGCACCAGGGAGCGCAGAGCAGCGCACGCGTGTGCACATGCATGTGTGTGTATGTAGCCACAGGGCTACGGGCACAGCACACACGTGTTGCTGCGCACACTGCACATGTATGTTGAACACAGAGCCACAGAATGGTTCTGAGTGGGGTTGGAAGGGTCTTTAAAGACAATTGGGCCATGGGGTGGGGTGGGTTGGAAGGGTCCTTAAAGATCACAGTGACATAGTATGGGTTGGAAGGGTCCTAAATATCAGAGAGGCATGGGATGGTTGGGTTGGAAGGGTTCTTACAGATCACAGAGCCATGGAATGGTTGGGGTGGAAGAGTCTATAAGAATCACTTTGACACAGTACACGTTGGGTTGGAAGGGTCCTTAAAGATCACAGTGACATAGTATGGATTGGATGGGTCCTAAATATCAGAGAGGCATGGGATGGTTGGGTTGGAAGGGTCCTTACTGTTTATAGAGGTATGGAATGAGTTGGGTTGGAAGGGTTCTTACAGACCACAAAGCCATGGAATGGTTGGGGTGGAAGAGTCTTTAAGAATCACTTTCACACAGTACACGTTGGGTTGGAAGGGTCCTTAAAGATCACAGAGACTTGAAATGGTTGGGTTGGGAGAGTCCTTAAAGATCATAGAGACATGGGATGGTTGGGGTGGAAGGGTCCTTACTGTTTATAGAGGTATGGAATGAGTTGGGTTGGAAGGGTCCTTAAAGATCATAGAGCCATGGAATGGTTGAGTTGGAAGAGTCTTTAAAGATCACAGCAATACAGTACACATTGGTTGGAAGGGTCCTTAAAGATCACAGATCATAGAGCCATGGAATGGCTGTCTTGGAATGGCTCTTGGAATGGCTCTTATCACAGAACCATAGAATGGTTGGGTTGGATTGGAAGGGTCCTTACAGATCACAGAACCATAGAATGGTTGGGTTGGATTGGAAGGGTCCTTACAGATCACACAACCACAACACAGTTGGGTTGGATAGGAAGGGTCCTTACAGATCACACAACCACAACACAGCTGGGTTGGATAGGAAGGGTCCTTACAGATCACACAACCACAGCACAGTTGGGTTGGATTGGAAGGGTCCTTACAGATCACACAACCACAACACAGTTGGGTTGGATAGGAAGGGTCCTTACAGATCACACAACCACAACACAGTTGGGTTGGATAGGAAGGGTCCTTACAGATCACACAACCACAACACAGTTGGGTTGGATAGGAAGGGTCCTTACAGATCACACAACCACAGCACAGTTGGGTTGGATTGGAAGGGTCCTTACAGATCACACAACCACAACACAGTTGGGTTGGATAGGAAGGGTCCTTACAGATCACACAACCACAACACAGTTGGGTTGGATAGGAAGGGTCCTCACAGATCACACAACCACAGCACAGTGGGTTGGAAGGGTCCTTACAGATCACACAACCACAACACAGTTGGGTTGGATAGGAAGGGTCCTTACAGATCATACAACCACAACACAGTTGGGTTGGATAGGAAGGGTCCTTACAGATCACACAACCACAACACAGTTGGGTTGGATAGGAAGGGTCCTTACAGATCACAGAACCACAACACAGTTGGGTTGGATAGGAAGGGTCCTTACAGATCACACAACCACAACACAGTTGGGTTGGATAGGAAGAGTCCTTACAGATCACACAACCACAGCACAGTTGGGTTGGATAGGAAGGGTCCTCACAGATCACACACCCACAGCACAGTGGGTTGGAAGGGACCCCCCAGTCCCATCCCTGCCGTGGGCTGGCTGCCCCCCAGCTCAGGCTGCCCAGGGCCCACAGACAGCCTGGGGCACCTCCAGGGCTGGGGCACCCACAGCTCCGGGCCGCAGTGCTGGAGCCTCATCACCTTGGTGATGAATTTCTTTAGGGGAAGGCAGCATCCTGGAGGCCTTGAGATCGCCCGCTTTGCCTCCAGCCCAGCGCAAGCACCCCCAGTGAGCCACACACAGCCAGAATCCAACTGGTGCAAGAGGACAAGGGCCTGGAGGAGGACTGCAGTAACACAAGAGAAGGACAGCAGCCATGATCCGAAATGACCCCAACGCCGCAGCGCAGGACGGAACAGTTACACTTTGTGAGAGGGAGACAAAAAGAAATGTCCACCAAAGAAACCCACAGGGGCAAAACATCACCCAAAACGTCAGACCAAAACCAGGGGGGCACAGATGGACACCCCTGAAGGCCCCATTACCACTGCAACGTCTCAAAGCAGAGCTGCACTCCAGGAACCTTCGCCCCGCATTCGGGATTGCGTTCTGGCTGCGAACAGGACGTCACCAACGGGCTGTGATGGTGCTCACGAGGTCCCCGCAGCACCGCCCCTCTTCCTGCCCCAAACCCAACGTGTGGAGGAAGGAAAGCACGGAGCAAACGGTGAGATTTCCGCCACCCCTCCCCACATACATACTGCTTCATGGCTATCAGCTTGGAGTCCATGCTCTCCTGCTTTCCTTTCATCACCTGGATGTCGGTCAGCAGCTTGGTGACGTTGTCTTGCCGCACTTTGATGTCCTCGTTCTTTATGCTGGACACCTGGGGGCAGAAAGGCAGACGTCAGCAATGCCTCCTTCCTACAAAACAGCTCATACTGCAAAATCCCTCTCCCCTCTTCACATCTCCACATCCACAACGGAGCCCGTGGCGCCGAGGGATGAAAACCAACCACCTACAATGCGACCGTTCTGCAAGCAAATCACTGCTTGCAAACGCCAGACTCCATTGCAGCCTCAAAGTAACAGCTTTGGGAAGCACTGGGGTGGAACTGAAGGCCTGCGCAAGAGCTGTGTGCTGAGTACAGCCCTGCAGATGGGTGAGACGTGTCTGTCCATGACAACCCTACAGCTGACACCAGAAGTTGGGAGCGCATTCATTCACGCTGCGGGCAGGACGCGGACATCCCCGTGCGCCTGCAAAGTCTGTGCTGCAATGCAGCCAACACCTCAGCAATTAAGAAGTCATCAGCTGGCTCCAGAAGGAAAGCTGGGCCAGGAGGGGCACTGCCAGAGCAGCCGAGGTGCAGCACAGGGATCTGTTTTTCTAATGAAACCCTCACGAGATGCTGAGATGCACACAGATCTGCCACGCTGGGGCTGAAGCGTCAGCCTGCCCGCTGCTGCTCCACGTGAGCCGTGGGTCACAAGGATGGAAATACAGCTCTCCAGCCCACGCTTCAGCAACTGGGAGGGAATCCGAGCTGGAAGATCCTCACGTGTTTCTGGAGCTGTCGGTGCCCAGCAGGGCCTTCAGGACACAGCTGGTGGCAGTTGTGCAGTTTGGGAAACAGGGGCAGCCGCAAGGCATATCTGCGAGCCTGAAGGGCAAATGCCCAATCCTGTGCTCGGGACGCACACGAGGCCAACACGTCGCTAACAGTGCAGGCACTCGTCCTTCCTTTTCCTCCGTGTGCACAGACAGCATCATCCTTCAAAGCCCTTGAAGCAAGGACAGCAGCTCAGCCTGTGGCTGCTCTCCCTCCTGCTGCAAGGTCTGCTCCTCTTCAGCCCCTTCAGACACAGCAAGCTTCCCTCTGCCAAGCCAACCCAAGCAGGCTCTGCTTGTCTGGAGGAAACAGGAACGAGGATCGCCGAGCGCTGCTGACCCCACAGACAGGGTGGGAGACAGAGGGGGACCCCCAAGCGGTCCCACAACGAACCCAATGCTGACATCGGTGAGGATTGTCCCCAGACAAAAGGGAAAGGACAGGAATGCAGCTGAGCAGCATCGCAGCTCACAGCGGGGCAGCAAGAAGAGCTGTGTCAGAATGCAAAGCAGTGGTGCTGGGGAGCTAAAATATGAATTTATATTTTTATATATAAAGCGCCTATCACTCGATTGATAAACATTCTTTGGAACCATTCGGACGGCAGGGGTAAGAACAGGAGTCAGCCTGTCAGAACCTCAGCATTTCTGTTTCCAACCAATTGCAAAAAGAAATAAAATAAAAGCCACAAGACTTTGCTGCCAGCCTGGCATGGTGGCGTTTAATACTGCTACTCCATCAGGGTTGGAGGGAGACTTATTGTGATAATTGTGATATATTGTGATATTGTGAATGGCGACAGTTTGCACTGTGATTCCTCCAGCTGTGCTGCAGAACAGCACAGGCATCACAGCAGGGCAGTGGGATGTGAAGGCTCAGACCTGTTACCAGTCCAAATGTCTCAGCAGCAGGGAGCTTCTATTAGGAGAGCAAGCTAACTGTGCACAAAGCTCTCGCTCTCTGTGCTTAAGGACGAGCCAGTGAACCTCCCGGACTCTTCACAAGTTTCAGAAGATCACCAGACAGAAATACATGTCAGTTATAAAGATATCGTTGTCAGTTGGGTGGAGGCAGGTTTAGAATGGGTAAAGGGAGGAGAGGAATCATAGAATCACAAGGTTGGAAACGACCTATCAGATCATCTAGTCCAACCATCTCCTCATCACCACTGCCACCACAAGCACTAAACCAGAGAAGGGACCAGCCCTGCTCTTGCTGTAAGCACCTTTCAGATATTGGAAGAGAGCAGTAAGGTCTCCCCTCACAGAATCACAGAATCACCCGGGTTGGAAGGACCTCAAGGATCATGTAGTTCCAACCCCCCTGCCCAGCAGGGCCACCAAACACACATTCAGATCAGGTTGCCCAGGACCCCGTCCAACCTGGCCTTGAACACGGCCAAGGACGGGGCATCCACAACCTCCCTGGGCAGCCCGTTCCAGGGCCTGACCGCTCTCCTTGTGAAGAACTTCCCCCTCACATCCAACCTCAATCTTCCCTCCCTCAACTTGGACTCCATAGGACACCCACAGGCCACCCAGTGACCCCATAAAGCACCCCCTGACCCCATAGGCCACCCACTGACCCCACAGGCCACCCCCTGACCCCATAGAGCACCCCCTGACCCCATAGAGCACCCCCTGACCCCATAGGCCACCCAGTGACCCCATAGAGCACCCCCTGACCCCATAGAGCACCCCCTGACCCCATAGGCCACCCACTGACCCCATAGAGCACCCCCTGACCCCATAGAGCACCTCCTGACCCCACAGGCCACCCACTGACCCCACAGAGCACCCCCTGACCCCATAGAGCACCCCCTGACCCCATAGGCCACCCAGTGACCCCACAGGCCACCCACTGACCCCATAGAGCACCCAGTGACATCAACTTCCCCCTAACATCCAACCTCAATCCTCCCTCCCTCAACTTGGATCCATTTCCCCTCGTCCTGCTGCTGTCAGCCCTTCTGAAGAGTTGACTCCCCTCCTGGCTGTGGGTTCCCTTCAGGTATTGATAGGCTGCCATGAGGTCACCCCGCAGCTTCTCTTCTCCAGGCTGAACGAGCCCAGCTCCCTCAGCCTGTCCTCATAGGGGAGGTGCTGCAGCCCCCTGCTCATCTCAGTCGCCCTCCTCTGCACCCTTTCCAACATCTCTCTGTCTTTCTTGTACTGAGGGCTCCAGCCCTGGACACAGGACTCCAGGTGGGGCCTCACAAGAGCCGAGTAGAGAGGGACGATCACCTCCCTGTCCCTGCTGACCACCCCTCTGCTGATGGAGCCCAGGATCCCATTTGCCTTTCGAGCTGCCAGAACGCACTGCTGCCTCATGTGAAGCCTCTCGTCCATCAGGACCCCCAGGTCCTTCTCTGCCGAGCTGCTCTCAAGGCCCACTCCTCCCAGCCTCTACGGGTGCCTGGGGTTCTTCCGGCCCAAATGCAAAACCTTGCACTTTGCCGTGTTGAACCTCATTAGGTTCACCCGAGCCCAGCCCTCAAGCCTGTCGAGGTCCCTCTGAATGGCATCCCTTCCTTCCACCCTATCAACCGCACCACTCAGCTTGGTGTCGTCAGCAAATTGCTGAGGGTGCACTCAATTCCCTCATCGATGTCATTAATAAAGATGTTAAAGAGCACCGGTCCCAAGGCAGACCCTTGGGGGACACCACTTGTTACCGGCCTCCACCTGGACATAGAGCCATTGACCACCACCCTCTGTCTGCAGCCTTTCAACCAATTGCTCATCCATCGGGTCGTCCACCCATCAAATCCACTTCCCTCCAATTTGGAGATGAGGATGTGGTGGGGGACCATGTCAAAGGCCTTGCTCAGGTCCAGGTCGCCTTCCCTTCTTCCACCAATGCCGTCACTCCATCATAGAAGGCCACAAGATCAGTCAGGCATGACCTTCCTTTGGTGAAGCTCTGCTGGCTGTCTCGGATCACAGCTCATTCTTTATGTGATCCAGCATGTTGTCCAGGAGGATCTGTTCCATCATCTTCCCAGGCACGGAGGTGAGACTCACCGGCCTGTAGTTCCCCGGGTCCTCCCTGCTCCCGTTCTTGTCTATGGGAGTGACGTGACCCTTCCTCCAGTCATCCGGGACCTCACCTGACAGCCTCCTTTTCCCCAGACTTAAGAGCCACCATTCCTTCAGTTGCTGCATGTACTTCCTATCTTAAGGCGGAAGAGAGAATTACAGAATAGAATAAGCTTGCCCTAATAGCTTCAATTTCACCCAAATCTCAGCTTTACGAGCATAGGAACGTTCAGTAAATGTTTCTCATTGACTGGAAAAAACTTGTCCTTCCTATTCCTTTAGATAGTTCCCTGCTCAGCATCTTGTTTATATTCTTGCTCTCCAGAAGCTACCAGAACTGCCCGCCTCTCCCCATAGACCAGGCAGAGGGACTGAGATGGGATTTAAGTATCTGACTGTCCAAGTATCCTGCTAACATGGGACAAGTTGGCTCATGGAAGGAAGAAGACATTTTACACTTCCGGTACTGCAAACAAACAGTTTTGACCTCACGCCGTAAGTCACTGGACCTTATCAATAGTCTGATCTGGGTTACGACACATCAAAGGCAACGTTGGCTGGCAGGGGGTTAAACGATGCCACACAGCAGAGAGCAAATCACAGAATGACAGAACTGTAGGGGTTGGAAGGGACCTCCAGAGCTCATGGAGTCCAACCCCCTGCCAAAGCAGGTTCCCTACAGCAGGTCGCACAGCTCAGCATCCAGGCAGGTCTTGAACATCTGCAGAGCAGGAGACTCCACCACCTCCCTGGGCAGCCTGTTCCAGTGCTCCGTTGCCTCACCTACAGAAGTTCTTATGCAGATTCATGCACAACAGGCCACAACAGGCCACAACAACCCCAGGCGATGCTACAGGCTTGGGGCGGTGTGGCTGGAGGACTGCGTAGAGGAAATGGACCTGGGGGTATTGATTGATGCTCGGCTGAACATGAGCCGACAGTGTGCCCAGGTGGCTAAGAAGGCCAATGGCATCCTGGCTTGCATCAGAAACAGTGTTGCAAGCAGGAGCAGAGAGGTGATTGTTCCCCTGTATTCAGCACTGGTGAGGCCGCACCTCGAGTACTGTGTCCAGTTTTGGGCCCCTCACTGCAAGAAAGATATTGAGGGCCTGGAACGTGTTGAAAGGAGGGCAACAAAGCTGGTGAGGGGTCTGGAACACAGGGCTGATGAGGAGAGGCTGAAGGAGCTGGGAATGTTCAGCCTGGAGAAGAGGAGCTCAGGGGAGACCTCACTGCTCTCTATAACTTCCTGAAGGGAGGCTGTAGTGAGCTGGGGGTCGGCCTCTGCTCTCGTGTCATCAGGGATAGGACCAGGGGGAATGGCTTCAAGCTACGGCAGGGGAGATTCAGGCTGGACATGAGGAAGTGTTACTGCTCAGAAAGGGTGGTCAGGCACTGCAATGGATGCCCAGGGAGTGGTGGAGTCACCGAGCCTGGGGGTGTTCAAGGAAAGACTGGATGTTGTATTGAGGGACATGGTTTAGTAGGAGCTATTGGGAATAGGTGAACGGTTGGACTGGATGATCTTTCAGGTCTTTTCCAACCTTGGTGATTCTATGATTCTATGATTCTAACTTCCTATGCTGCAGTTTCCGGCCGTTTCCCCTCGTCCTGTCTCCACTCACCACTGAAAACAGTCCAGCCTCGCCATTCTGCCCCCCACACCTCAGATATTCACAGACCTGGATCAGCTCCCCTCTCAGTCTCCTTCTCTCAAGGCTGAACAGCCCCAGCTCACTCAGCCTTTCTCCATAGCAGAGATGCTCCAGGCCCCTCACCATCTTTTGGCCCTCCGCTGGACTCTTCCCAACAGATCCCCGTCTGTTTTGTGCTGGGCAGCCCAGAACTGGACGCCGTGCTCCAGATGAGGTCTTACCAGGGCAGAGCAGAGGGGGAGCATCGCCTCGCCCTGCTGGCCGCGCTCTGTGCAATGCACCCCAGTAAGCCATTGGCCTTTTAGGCCACAAGGGCACACTGCTGGCTCATGGCAACCTGTCATCCACCAGGACACCCAGGTCCCTTTCCGCAGGGCTCCCCTCCAGCAGCTCATCCCCCATCCTGTACTGGTGCATGGAATTATTCCTCCCCAGATGCAAGACTCTACACTTGCTTTTGTTAAACCTCATCCGTTTTTTTTCTGCCCAGCTCTCCAGCCTATCCAGGTCCTGCTGAATGGCAGCACGGCCTTCAGCCAATCCTCCCAACTTCGTATCATCAGCAAACTTGCCGAGGGTGGCCACCATCCCCTCATCAAGGTCACTGATGAAGATGTTGAACAAATCTGTAGTCTGCTAGGAAGGTCCCCACATCCCCGCGGGGTGCAGCCCGTGCAGCACCTGATGCTGGTTCGGCAGCTCACCCTCAGCCTGTCCCGAGGGATCTGAGCACACACTTACGCTGGTGACTTTCCTCTTGATGTTCTCCAGGAGGTGCTCCTGGCCACGGATGAAGTAGGGGTGCTGGAACTCGGTGTCGTCCTTCTCCGGCTTCACCAGCCCTCCCTGCTCGATGTGCACGACCTTCCGGAAGCCATCTGAAAAGCAAACAAGGGAAGGCTTGAAGGTTAAGCTTCAGAAAGCAGAGGGGAGGACAGGGCCATCCCCCCCCCCACCTCGTCTGCTCCAATCCGCAGTGCTGTCACCGCCGAGCTCCTTTCAAACAGATCTCAGCCCCAAAACGGAGCACAAAACTCCGCTCTCCCCAAACCCACTTCTGCTGCGGACAGCACAGGTCAGCAGGAGGAAAGGCTGAAACTGCTGGCACTGAAGGGGGGGGGCTGAAATCAGCCTTCCTGCCCTCCAGTCGCAGCCCCGGGTCTGCAGGAAACCACGCAGCAGCACCCAGCATTCAGCATTCGCTCCCTTCCAGCCCCTGAGCTCAACAGTTCTGGTGACTGGAGGCATTTCTGAGAGCCGTCAGCCATGCGCTGAATCTGCCCTCCCTCAGCTTCAAACCATCCTCCTCGTCCTGCTGCCATCTCCCCTTGCACAGAGCTGACTCCCCTCCTGTCTGCAGGCTCCCTTGAGGCACTGCAGGCTACACTGAGGTCACCCCGCAGCTTCTCTTTTTGTGAGGCCCCACCTGGAGTCCTGTGTCCAGGTGTGGAGCCCTCAGTACAAGAAAGACAGAGAGATCTTGGAAAGGGTGCAGAGGAGGGCGACTGAGATGAGCAGGGGGCTGGAGCACCTCCCCTATGAGGACAGGCTGAGGGAGCTGGGCTCGTTCAGCCTGGAGAAGAGAAGCTGCGGGGTGACCTCATGGCAGCCTATCGATACCTGAAGGGAACCTACAGCCAGGAGGGGAGTCAACTCTTCAGAAGGACTGACAGCAGCAGGACGAGGGGAAATGGATCCAAGTTGAGGGAGGGAGGATTGAGGTTGGATGTTAGGGGGAAGTTGATGTCACTGGGTGCTCTATGGGGTCAGGGGGTGCTCTATGGGGTCAGGGGGTGGCCTGTGGGGTCAGTGGGTGCTCTATGGGGTCAGGGGGTGCTCTATGGGGTCAGTGGGTGGCCTCTGGGGTCAGGGGGTGCTCTATGGGGTCAGTGGGTGGCCTCTGGGGTCAGTGGGTGTTCTATGGGGTCAGGGGGTGCTCTATGGGGTCAGGGGGTGCTTTATGGGGTCAGTGGGTGGCCTCTGGGGTCAGGGGGTGCTCTATGGGGTCACTGGGTGGCCTCTGGGGTCAGTGGGTGCTCTATGGGGTCAGGGGGTGCTCTATGGGGTCAGGGGGTGCTCTATGGGGTCAGTGGGTGGCCTCTGGGGTCAGTGGGTGCTCTATGGGGTCAGGGGGTGCTCTATGGGGTCACTGGGTGGCCTCTGGGGTCAGTGGGTGCTCTATGGGGTCAGTGGGTGCTCTATGGGGTCAGGGGGTGCTCTATGGGGTCAGTGGGTGGCCTCTGGGGTCAGGAGGTGCTCTATGGGGTCAGTGGGTGGCCTCTGGGGTCAGGGGGTGCTCTATGGGGTCAGGGGGTGCTTTATGGGGTCAGTGGGTGGCCTATGGGTGTCCTATGGAGTCCAAGTTGAGGGAGGGAAGATTGAGGTTGGATGTTAGGGGGAAGTTCTTCACAAGGAGAGCGGTCAGGCCCTGGAACGGGCTGCCCAGGGAGGTTGTGGATGCCCCGTCCTTGGCCGTGTTCAAGGCCAGGTTGGACGGGGTCCTGGGCAACCTGATCTGAATGTGTGTTTGGTGGCCCTGCTGGGTAGGGGGGTTGGAACTGCGTGATCCTTGAGGTCCCTTCCAACCCGGGTGATTCTGTGATTCTCTCCTCCATGCTGAACGAGCCCAGCTCCCTCAGCCTGTCTTTGCAGTGGAGGTGCTGCAGCCCCCTGCTCATCTCTGTGGCTCCTCTGCACCCTCTCCAACAGCTCCCTGTCCTTCTTGTGCTGGGGGCTCCAGCCCTGGACGCAGTGCTGCAGACGGGGCCTCACAAGAGCAGAGCAGAGGGGGACGATCACCTCCCTGTCCCTGCTGGCCGCCCCTCTGCTGATGGAGCCCAGGATCCCATTTGCTTTCCAGCTGCAATGCACACCGCTGCCTCATGTTCAGTTTTTCACCCCCCAGGACCCCAGGGTCCTTTATGCAGGGCTGCTCTCTGTACAAATGCCTGCGATTCCTCCGGCCCAAGTGCCAGCCTTGCACTTTGCTGCGTTGAACCTCATCAGGTTCACCCAGGGCCCAACTTTCAATCCCAGTAACGGGATTATCAGCACTTTGGGATTATCAGCACTTTGGGATTATCAGCACTTTGGGATCATCAGCACTTTGGGATCAGTCCCTGAGTGCCACATCTCTACGGTTCAGAACCTCCAGAGCTGGTGACCCCACCGCCTCCCTGGGCAGCCCACGTTGAGGTCTGATGGCTCTTTGGGAGAAGAAATCGTTCCTCGTCTCCAAGCTGAGATCCTAGAGCCCTGGTTCAGAGCAGGAAGGCCATTAGGAGACCAAGATTCTCATGGTCTTCAAAAAGATCACAGCTCCATTTCTGATCCTGACACGTGTTTCCCAGAAAGGCACCGTTGGAAAGTTTCGCTCCATCTCAGTTTGGAAGAGGCTGCACCTGCAGAGCTGTGCTTTGGGGGCAGGGCAGAGATGGGGGTCCAGAGGAGGGCACGGGGTGCTCATACAGCACCTCCATATGGGGACAGGCTGACAGCTGGGTGCAGCCTGGGGAGGAGAACCTCACCGCAACCTCCCAGAGCTTACAGGGAGCCCAAGAACTTGAGGAGAGTGATGCGGAAGAGCGGCGATGGGACCAAAGGGAACAGCTTTAAGGTCAAAAGGGAGATGTGGGGTCAGATGTGGGGAAATCCTTCACCCAGAGGCGGTGCAGCCCCAGCACTGCTGCCTGGAGCTGTGGGTGCCCCAACCCATGAGGTGCCTGAGGCTGTAGATGGGGCCCTGGGCAACCTGCAGCTTTGCAGTGCTGTCTGTCAGCCCACAGCTGGGCTGGAATAAAAGCCCCCCACACCGAAAGTGAGCCACGCAGAGATGTGACACCTCACACCGCGACACTGAGCCGGGCTTCAGCCATCCGAGGGATCCTCCGGAGTGCAAACGGCCCTGCAGAAACGCCCTGCAGCCTTCAAGGTGCTGAAAGGCACAACGAAAACATCAGCCCCTGCTACAGCTGAATGCTTCCAAAGCCACATCTGGAGATCAGTGCTGACCTCCAGCAGGGCTGCTCGGAAGGCGGCCTTTGTGCACAGAAATATGCTATGCAGATCACAGCATCACAGAAGCGCAGGGGTTGGAAGGCAGCTGCAGAGCTCATGGAATCCAACCCCCTGCCCAAGCAGTTCCTGCACCAGGTCGCACAGGTCGGCGTCCAGGCGAGCCTTGAACGTCTCCAGAGCTGGAGACCCCAGAGCCCCCTGGCAGCCTGTTCCAGTGAACAGTGGAACCCATAAAGACACGTTGGGACCCATAGAGACACGTTGAGACCCATAGAGACACACTGGGACTCACAGAGACACATTGGGACCCATGGAGACATGTTGGGACCCGTAGAGACATGTTGAGACCCATAGAGACACACTGGGACCCATAGAGACATGTTGAGACCCATAGAGACACGTTGAGACCCATAGAGACACCTTGAGACCCATAGAGACACACTGGGACTCATAGAGACACATTGGGACCCACAGAGACATGTTGAGACCCATAGAGACACACTGGGACCCATAGAGACACATTGGGACCCATGGAGACACACTGGGACCCATAGAGACATGTTGAGACCCATAGAGACACCTTGAGACCCACAGAGACACACCAGGACCCACAGAGACACATTGGGACCCATGGAAACATGTTGGGACCCATAGAGACACGTTGGGACCCATAGAGACACATTGAGACCCATAGAGACACCTTGAGACCCATAGAGACACATTGAGACCCATAGAGACACATTGGGACCCATAGAGACACACTGGGACCCATAGAGAAAAGTTGAGACCCACAGAGACATCTTGAGACCCATAGAGACACACTGGGACCCATAGAGACACGTTGGGACCCATAGAGACACACTGAGAGCCACAGGGACACATTGGGAGCCACAGGGACACATTGGGACCCACAGAGACACGTTGGGACCCATAGAGACACAAAAGCAGTTCCTGCACCAGGTCACACAGGTCGGTGTCCAGGCGAGCTGTGAACATCTCCAGAGCAGGAGACCCCGCAGCCCCCTGGCAGCCTGTTCCAGTGCTCCGTTGCCTCACCTACAGAAGTTCTTATGCAGATTCATGCACAACTTCCTATGCTGCATTTCCAGCCGTTTCCCCTCGTCCTGCCTCCACTCCCCACTGAAAACAGTCCGGCCTCGCCATTCTGCCCCCGCACCTCAGATATTCACAGACCTGGATCAGCTCCCCTCTCAGCCTTCTTTCCTCCATGCTGAACAGCCCCAGCTCACTCAGCCTTTCTCCATAGCAGAGATGCTCCAGGCCCCTCGCCATCTTTTGGCCCTCCGCTGGACTCTTCCCAACAGATCCCCGTCTGTTTTGTGCTGGGCAGCCCAGAACTGGACGCCGTGCTCCAGGTGAGGCCTCAGCAGGGCAGAGCAGAGGGGGAGCATCGCCTCGCCCTGCTGGCCACGCTCTGTGCAATGCACCCCAGGACGCCGTGTTGGCCACCAGGGCGCCCTGCTGGCTCACGGCCGACCTGTTGTTCCCCAGGTCCCTGTGCGCAGAGCTCCCCTCCAGCAGCTCAGCCCCCATCCTGTACGGCTGCACGCCGTGATTCCTCCCCACATGCAAGACTCCACGCTTGCTGTTGTTAAACCCCATCTGCTTTCTTCCTGCCCAGCTCTCAGCCTGTCCAGCTCTGGCCGAATGGCAGCACGGCCTTCAGCCAATCCTCCCAACTTCGTGTCATCACAAACTTGCTGACGGTGGCCACCGTCCCCTCGTCAAGGTCACTGATGAAGATGTTGAACAAGGACCCAGCGCCGACCCCTGGGGACACCGCTGCTTACAGGCCTCCAACCCGACTCTGCACCGCCGCCAACCCTCTGTGCTCTGCCAC